GCCGCCCGTCGGCGCTGGGCTGCGGGGAGGGAGAGGTCGGCGGAGGGGGTCCCCCGGGAGCAAAGGGGAGGGTGCTGGATGCTGCCCCGCCTCGGCGGGCGGGCTGGGTGTGGGGAGGTGGGTGCCTCCCCGAGGGCCCCATCTCAGCTGCCGCCGTGGGCAGGAGGACAGCGGCCACCCCGTGAGGGGACCCCAGTACTGCCCCCCCCCGTGTGTTTCCTCTGCCCAGCAGGGGTAGTCTCCCCCCGGTGAGGATGAGGCTGCTGTGACCTGATGCACCCCCATCTTGCCCCTCTGAGCACTCCCTGCCACATCTCAGGTCCACTCTGGGGTACACGATGCTCCCAAAACCACATCCCTGTGGTCCTGGGCCAGGGCATCTCTGCCACGTTGGGTCTGCCCTGGCGACATCTCCACCTGGTGCAGAGAGGCCTGAGCCCCGCCTGTGGCAGGCCACTGCCATCTCCCATGGGCACCCCACGGGCATCTGTTTTGGGCCCCAGCCCCCAGTTGCCCTAAGAGGCTCAGCCAGGACCTGGCCAAACCCACCAGCTTCATTTAAGGCCCCACATCCAGCCGGCTCTGCACCATCACCAACAGCCCTTCCTGCATCCTTTCCTCAGGGCACCCCACCTCTCCAGTTTTGCATTAACACTGCTCCCCCTTATCTTTTTTGTTGTCTCCTGCAATCACTGGATTTATCCCATTTTCTTCCCCCCAGCTCACTTCCTCCTCCCAGGGAAGGCACCACAGTTCGTTATAGTCTGGCCAGTGCCCAGCGCCACAGGGAAATCAGTAAAGGCTGTGGCGGTTGGAGGTGGTATTTAAGAAGCACGTGCGAGCCTGCAGCCCCTTCCTTTTGTACACCATTCATTTTGTCACCCTTTTACGATAGTTGACGCAAGGCTGATCCAGCTTCCTAGCCATTGCCTCAATGCTGCAGCCGAGGGCAGGGCTGCGCTTAATGAACTTATTCACGCTGTGAATTCCGAAGCAGTATTTGCTCAGCTACATACTTCTTGCAGCATCACCCCTTGGACTTTGAGCCCTGTTCCCCTCCATAATTTTTCTTCAATGACCGACACCTCTATAGGTGTTTGCAAGCCAAACCCCAGAGGTGAGTTTACAAAGCGAGGCCTGGCCCCTTTGAAGAGCTTGGCGGCGTTCCCGGGGACTTCAGCAGGGTCAGAAGCCCATTCCTGGGAACAAATTAGAGCTACAGCCAAACCCGTTTCCGCTGCAAATCACCCATCAGCTGGAGTATACGGCCATGCTTTGATAATTCGCGGCAGTGTGCACATCTGTGGGGAGGGCCAGAACAAAGGGGGGGTCTGTGCGATGCTCTTGGGGTTGATGAATGAGCCAGGAATGGTCTGGCTGAGCTTCTCGGGCTGGGATGGGCTGGGGACCGCTCTGGAAAGACCACGCTGGCCATCACTGCTCATGGAGTGGGGGAGCGGCTGCAAACCATACACATGGCTGTGTCCTGGTGTGAAGAGCTGCGGACTTTTCCCTGAAAGCCAACACTATAGCTCACTTTTTAGTGTGATATAGTTTGTTTTGATTGATAAACCATCAGGCTGCACAGCTACATTTTCTGGACAAATGCTGGTCTGCTCCGTAAAACAGCAAGTTCCTGTCCAAAAGGCCCCATAAGAATAAGGGAGCTGGAGCCAGCGAGGAGCAGAGCTGGATCTTAAGCAGAAATCATTATGATATTTTTAATTGTGATCCAAAATACAACAGGGAATGGTCTTTGTGCACAGGAAATGGGACACCACTTCAAAAAGAGCAAAAAAACAAGGCAGCAAGTCAGGAGCATACAAAGAACATCTGGAGGAAGGCTCCCGGTGTGGAAAGGCTTCAGGACTTGGCATGTTTGTGCACACCTTGCTTCAAAAGGTCCGGTAAAAAAAAACTGAATTAGCTTTTAAATGAAACTCGCATCTGTGGATGCGGGGTCAGCAGCGCACTTTGGTCTCTGTCTTTGCACTTTTGCTTTCATCTGAGTGTTTTTTCTTATGCATTTATCCATCATTTTGATAAATTCAAAGCCTCCCCCAGCTGTCACCACAGTCAGCTTGTCTTAGCACTGGCCAAATTAGAAAGCTGCTAGAAAAATAAAAGTTTATTAGGAAAAAAAAGTGAAAAAATTGCTCACAGTGTAGAAAAAGGTAGGTTCTTGCAGAACTGGGACCCTAGTTTCCAGTGTATGTCCATTGTAGGAAGGCTCCACTTTTTCACACAGCATGGGCTTGTTAAGTGGATAACCATATAAAAGGAAAGTCCAGTGCACTAAAATACCATAATTTTAGGTCTCTGGCATTGTGACCATGCAAAAAATCCGTAAAGTAGGTTTTAAAGCCTATTTACCTTTACTGAGACAGAAAGTAACGGTGACTCTAACTGAACCCAAAGTGGGGAGCAAAGTCAAATCATGGGGAATCTCCTACGGGAACACATCTCGGGAAAGAACGGAGAGCTTCAAGGAGCTCAGAGCAGTCTGACCTGGGGAACATGCAGCAATTGCCCTCAAGTAAGTAGCACAGCCCCAATCCTAGTGCATGCTGTGGTAGCTGGTCACTACTGTTACAAGTATATAGCACTAGCTTTGCTTGGAAAAAGAAAAAATATGTATATTGCCTTATTTTTTAAATAACAAGGATTAATAACTTAGGTGGGGAGCTGACAGCAGAGTGCTAATTTCATCTCCAGTGCGCTTGGGGAGAGGGGTAAGAGATGCGATGCAGCCCTGCACCGTACCCTGGCACCGAAGCTTGGGACAAGCATGGGCTGAGTGTCACAGTGTGGTTTGGGTACGTGTAGGTAGTGGGTGGCTTTGCTAATTAAGGGCCATGACCCAGCTTTAGCTAATAGGAGCTCTGGGTGATTGCAGTTCAGGTGACTGCTGCTGTCTCTGTCCAAGCTGGGGCTGGTGGCTAGGAGAAACCTGTCGTTGCCTTTAGTTCGGGTTTAGTTTAGTGTGGTTTAGTCGTGTTACCAGCGAGAGCAAGAGAAGAGATTTTTTTTTTTTTGCAACCCACCACGTCACCTTGCTTGTGCTTCAGCAGGGTGTGAGCTCCCAAATACAATTACTGTGGCTGCCATTAAAAAAGGTCATCAGGCACCAGCCCTTCGTTACACCCCAAATACAAGAAATCTGCAGGAATTTGAAAATTTAGGAATTTCTCTCTCTTCTTAGAAAGGGGGAAAAAATAACGCAGTGGGCAGTGTTAACCAGGGGGAGGTGATGGGAAATGCACTAACATTCATTCGCTGGAGCCTCGTCCCACGTGGCTGTCTCCCTCTTCCCGCGCTCACCAGGGATGCTGGTACCACCCTCCACTTCACCCCAAAGCAATTTCTATTCTAGTAAGGGCAATTTTAAAAGCCTCCATGGCAATTTGGCATGAAAGTGTGGCTTCAGCCCTCTCCCAAGCGAAGGGAATAGCACTGGGTCGCTGTGGGGGGATGCTTGTACGCGTGTGTGTGTGTGTGTGTGTTGTGTATAGGGAATATTTTTTTTTTTTTTAATGGGTGTGGGGTGGGGTGGCCACACTCAGCCTCGATGGGTGGGCTGGTGGCGCCCGCTTTTGCAGGCTGGGCTGCTGGCTCTGCCATGGCACATGTCTCTTAAGTGAGCGCCTGCTCCAGAGAAGGGATTTGATCATTGTTTCAGAGTCTGAGGCGTCATGTACCCTGCTGCTGGCAACATCGGGTTGCCGTAGCTACTACATGAGTCATGGTAACACAGCGCAGCAGCCACGCAGGCGCTGCCAGGAGGAGCCCACGGTCTGAGGTCAAGGCTGAGGATGGGTAGGGATCACACCAAGGAAAAATGCAAAAAAATGGGGTTTTGATGATTTACCTCCTCTGCGGCTCTCTCCACATACCCATTGGTGGGACCTGCTAGCTTTTCTGTGGGATTTAGCAATGCATTTAGCCTGCCGAGTCTCCAGCTGGCCCTGACATCGCATCTCCCTCCCCAGAGATGCAGGAGCTCACGCTGCAGCTATCAGCCATTGCAGGGTACCGGCGTTCCCACTGCCATCATGTTTTTATTCGCATTGTCACTCTGTAATCCCGGAGACATGCATCTCCTCTCCAAGGAGTCTGTCCCTGGAGAAGGACTCCTAATTTCGCTGGTGTTACGCCGGCATCTCAGCAGCAGAGGAAAGTGGAGACTCAAGGCCGTATAACTTCTTTTATTATAATGATTTAAACACGACATCTGTAGGGAAAAAAGATGGTTTACAGGATTGACATTGTAATCCTGCCAACTGAAGTTGATTAGTAACAGAGAAACATATGCTCTTGCATTGCAAATTGTTGCCCTCCAAGTTTATATTAAGGTGCAGCTGTATCCACAGGCACATATAGCTAGAGCTCAGTATAGTGACCACCAGGTCTCCTAGGAAACTTGTACTCAAAAAAAACCTAAATAGCCGTAAGTGAAGGGTGTGGGTTGCTACTGCAGAAAGGTTGTGAGGAGCAGTGTTTTTTTCATGCTTTTCACATTTTTTTTCCATTTTTTTACATTTTCATACGCCTTAAAATGCTTGGTTTTTTTTTTTAATTAGACTACTCCAGAATATCTCTGGGAAGTTTTTGGTTATAGTTCCTTATTATTCCCCTCCTTCAGAAATGTCCTGGGACAAATTGGTGCCATTGGGTCCCCCCAGACTCCACCGGTCAGGTGGTGGGTGCCGGTCTCTCTGCAGGCAGGACCTTCTGAAAGGGACATGGAGCCTGTCAGGGGCAGCTGCCCAAGATGGAGACGCCCTGTGAGGGCGCTCAATCTGGCTTTGGGGATGTTCAT